CTGTCTACTATTTGCTAGTAAGCTGGATCTGAGGTAGAAATGTGTTGCTTAGTATAAATGAGCTAAAAAAAAAAAAGTGCTCCTGACATAGGCTTTATCTAATACATTAAAACATATGTCAATCAGGAAGAGAATCATCAAAAACTTTCTGGAGTTGAGGTGGATAAACTCTCCTCTGTCATTCTAAAGTTTGGATGCTATTCATTTCCTGCAGTTAACATGTATTTGAAAAACCCAAAAAAGGTTCCTTTAATTGCTTATACAATTTTTACTAGCTTTGCTGAAAAATAAACAGTTGCTGTAATTATTGAGGGTTTTTTTGCTTTTGTTTTTTACTGGTGGCAGAATAATAGGTGTTCCCTCTCCAGAAAAATCACCAGGTATCACATGACCTAATGTCAGGTGGCCTTTTGAAAAATCGGAAAAAAGAGATTAGTACAAGGGGAGATAATGCAAAACCCCAAAATATCACAATGCAACTTACACTACGAAAACTGAGAACGCACATTTTGCTTAAAAAGAAAAAAGAAGGAAAAAATGCAAATAGAAAATATACGTGTGTAGATAGTAATAAAGCTGCTTACTACTGAAAATCTTTCACAAAACAGGCTGATGGTGTTCAACAGTAAAGCTAAAATCCATTATTTACTATATGATATATGAATGTTGAACCATGCAACTGCACTAAAGCTTTTTCAGATGAAAAGAGAAAACCAAACAAAAACACAACATCCACCCCATATAGTGAAAGATATTTATAAGAATGTAGAAATATGTAAAGAGCAGGATATTTTAATAATATAATAGAATGATTCATCTCCGCTATAGCTCACAGATGTCCAACACAAAAGAGCCTGCGCTTCTCAAAAAAACATGACTGCTACCAATATTATATCCATAAGTTCTTATCATGCTATTGCTTCCCACAGTTATACTATTTCCTCTCAAATTCACATCTTTTTGCAGCTCCTTTTTGGCCACGATACAGAAGGCAATACTGGACTCCACAGTGACATTTTCTTCCTGATTCTATCTTATGTTCTTTCAGACATTCTTTTTCTAAGCATTACAATAAAGACTTTTTTGGAAAACAGAATTTCTACTGGATTGTTGTTTTGTTTGTTTGTTTACACTCAAGTCTTGCTATGATCCACATTTTATCTGAACTTATATTTCAAATAGTTTGTGTTATCACTTTTTTAAAACGATTTTTTGAAAATCGTATTTTCATCACTGTCAACTCTCATCAATCCTACATCCTTCACTGCAGACTTCCAAAATGAACTGCAAAGCAGTTCTCATACAAAGTGAAACAGAATATGAGCATGTTTTACAAAGCTAAGGTATGTTTGGTTACAAATACCAGGGTATCTCTCCAGTATTTCCTCTTAAAGAATTGTTTCTTTTTATTACTTGTAAGAAGGTGAGAGTGTTAATCCCTATTCTGTGAAGTATGCTAGCATCATTAGGATGACAAAAATCAAGTCTTATTGTGGCATGAAAAAAAAAATCATTTAACATCAACAACACACTGCTATTGAACTCCTTCTTGCCTCATGGGTGAAATAACAATCTCCTACACGCAGTCCCTCTAAGCATACCAATAGAGGAGAGAAGCAAGAAAAATACTAAAAATGGATGTATTAAAGATACAACAGGAAATACATGACTCATGAGATGTAAATTCTTTTATCTGTATAGAATAAATTGAAGAAGAGCTTAATATGGCTGCTACAATTTCTATGGAGTTAGATTAGAACAGAAATACACCTATCAATAATACACCAGATTTAGGCTTCCTAACCATTTTCTAGATATTCAGCAACCTCTGAGAAACAATTTAACTTCATTTTCTTGATCTAACACATGACTAGTCAGATTTTAAAAATGATACCTTTTTTTAGCACCCTGGTTGGCCATTTCAGTCTAAGACAAGGAAGTGATTGAGCACAGAGCCTAAATTATCCTTCTGCATTACTTGCAGGATATCTTGAAAACAGAGGTAAGAAACTGTCAACATGAATAGGCTCACACTTCTATTTCCGTATAGATCTGAATTTTTCAGACAAAAATCCATACTTTTCTTCTTAGAAGGGAATAAGAAACAATAAAGCCCTACTTAGGCCTGCAATGTCATATAAATATCACTGCACATTAATTCTTCTCTTTGAAAAACTTAAAGCTGTGCCTCTAAGCAAATTTGCAAAACAGAAAATGTTGTAGGCTGAAATACTACTCACATTGCTTAACTGAACCTACAATTTAAAATAATTTCAAACACATATAAAGCACTAAAGTCAGCATGCTAGAACCCCAAAGTCTACGTCTTAAAACATGAACAAAAGTAATATTCAAGGCACAAAAAAATATTTCAATGTAATTTCTTTTTAAAAATACTGTAGCATATGAAAAAAAAAAAAAAAAAGGTATTTTCATACCGCACCAGAAGATGGGTGAAGTGTGAAAGAAATCTCCTGTTTAATGCGACCTTTGGCTGTACTTTCACTTGTCATCATTATAAAGTAGCTACTTCCAGTGCCAACACAGAAGCTGCGTTATATTACCCTATAACAGTAGTAGCATGTATCATACTCTGAGAAACCGATGGCAGAATGCACACTGACAGCACTTACCTTTGTAATTGCTGATAATGGGTCTTATGGTACAATAAGACTTCATTTGCACAAGGAAATGAGAGTGACTGCACAAAATTTCATACAGCATGTTATAAACCAGTATTTGTTCAGGAACTCCCTTGGAGTCCTCGACTTCACTCAAAATGTTCATATAAAGAGAAAAAATTCACACTGGAACGCTGCCTCTAAGAATGACAATAGTCAGGGCTTTGTTACTGTGTACAAACCAAAAATACTGCATTGCTAAGATCTCTATACTTGACTTTTCCTAACATATGTAATTACAAAAATATTTCTGGAAAGCAAATGAATTTGAAACTCCAGTAAGATTAATAGAACAAATACAACAAATTTATGTTCTATAAAATGTCAGCAAGCTGCAGAATAAAAATCACTAGCTATCATTATCTAAAGCTGTTCATCTAACACTGTAGAGAAAAAAACCATTGATACACACTGTACACACATTTTTATCCACGTACATAAATCAAAGGAAACAGCTTCCTTTAAGGCAAGCATATGAAGATACTAAAGCAAGATACAAATTAAATATTCATACATTCAATATTTCAAAATAAGGAATTTGGATACACACATGCATAATTTAAGTTCTATAGTGAAACCTGTCTACAGAGGCCATTTCTACTGTATTTCAACAGCATTGAAACTTGAAATGTACAATGCAGCCTTCCCAACTATACTAAAACTTTAAAGTGCACAGTAATTCATTTGAAGCACCAAACACAGAATAAAGGCCATGTTGTGCACACGGCTCTTTTCCACAAGAACCACTGCTTTGCCCAATTCATTGAAGCCCTTCCAGCTCTATGAGCAGGGCTGTCAGTCACTGTGTTTTCCTACAAGTTAGCTTCAGCCTGCCAAAAGAGTTAATCACTGGGAACTGAGCAGGTAACAAACTGAGCAGGTAACTTCAGGTAAGAGTCTCACAGTTCCTGAGGGAAATCACATCAGGCAACAATCTTTGAGCCCAATTCTGCTCTGAGGCACCTATTTTAGACTACAGATCTGATGCTCATACGCAGCCTGAAATTGGGCCCTTTTTCTGGTTACATTACTCAGGCCTCTTCAGAGAAAATGAAGAGATCTCAGGCATTTCTGTTTGGCAAAAGAAAGCAAAGCGAAACCGGCTTCACAACTACATTTGTGCACTAAGAATTGTTCTTTGTATGTAAACCACTGACAGGTTCTGTGCTCACAACAGCACAGAGACCTTACATTTCCAGAGCTTATAAATTTCTATGTGAGCTAATAACACTATGACTCAAAAATCAAGCAAACAAGAAAAATCAAATCCATTTTCACTCCTAGACATATATCTTGTTCTGGGTGTGTGTAAAATTACCATCCATTTCTCTTCACATATTTAAAACCTGGCCAGTGAGAAGAATATCTCCATATGAGTTATTATTGTGATCATATTTTCTTATTAGAAGTTAAATGTTTTAGTTCGAATATCAAGAGGCTCATTTTAAAACCATCCATTTTATTTGGACAAAAATATGTCAAGTGAACTTTAAGAATAATAAACAGTACTGTTAATGGGAAGTAGAACAGCTCTGTTTCTACATATTTTAAGTAGATGTTTATCTTTGCTCCTTAAAGGTCACTCATTTGATCTTGAGACAATCTGAGCAAAAGCTAAATAAGTAAAAAAGTGATATTAAGCAATATTACACTAAATAAAATTAGTATCTACATGGCAAATTGCTTCATTGAAAACCATCTACAGATTCTGCAAAGAATATACTTTTGCCTTAGAGCTAGTACTTTAATTTTCAAGAACCAAGAAAAAAAATCAAAACTAGTCAGTAACAATGCAGCGTCGAAAAGCAATAAACTCAAAATTAAGTTATAAATAATTTAAAGCATGTCATGAAGATGTATTAATAATTCATCAGATAAATAATTTACTAAATAATCAAATAAATAAATAATGAAATACATAAATAAATCAGCAAATAAATAATTCTGCAAAATAACCTAAACAATAAGTCACTAAAACAAATGACAAACCTACAAAACTACAATGATTTTCTAAATTCTGATAGTTTTAAATAAACAAATGTATATAAACTAGATCAATCTTTGGTGGATACAGAAATAGTTTTCATTGCTATTGGTAAACTCCTGATTACACTGCACAAGGATACAATTTTAGATTTTACAAGAGTGCAGTTTTTTCCTCGTAAATTATTAACATGGTTGCTACAATATATCCTGCTCTGTATTTTACATGTAGTCCCTTTATGTAGCTCACTTTCCCCCCCAACACAAAAGCAAAAATCTCTTAACAACATTCTTAATTCAAGTATGCTTGTTTGTTTTTCTGGGTGCAGTACTTACAATACTGCAATAGCCTTCTTGGTGGTTCTCTTACTATCTTCTGCAAACCTTCAGAAGTTTTGCTGCAGGGGGAAAACAAGTAGAATAACCTTAATTATTACAGATGGTATCTCATTCATTAGCGGATGACAACATTTTATTTGAAAGCACAAGAAAAGCTGTTTTATAATTCTACAAAGCATCTTAATGTGAAACAACCATTACAGTTTGCAGACTACCACAAGTTTTTAGAAGTCTTTGGTGGAACGAGTTCAAGCAGACTGAGGCCTGTTTCTTGTATTTAAGCTGACACACAATCTGTGCAAACTGGCACTAATTCAGATGTAAAGACAAACCATGAGAAGGACAAAATACTTGGCTGACATCTAACGTTATCCTTGATTTTGGTAGTTCAGAGTCCTTGAAAGAATACAGTGAGACCATTTCCTCTACGTTCATAATTTAATTAGAACTCTGCACTCCAAAGCCAACACTCATACCACAAAGGTCAAAATCCACTCATCTCTTGAACCAGCTTTCATCCTCCATTTATCGTAATGAATACTATTGACAATCACCACAATTTCTTTAAAAGTGGCATTCTGTAAATAGAACACTTGAAGAAGTGTGCCAGAAATGTAATTGCATTATCAATATTTATCAATTTTATCCATTCTGTCAAAAAATGTTTGTTTCCTTCCATAATACACATTAAAGTGAAGCAATTTTATAAGTTATGCTACTGATGTGGAGTCTTAGACTCTGTACAAACTTATTAAATTGAATGAATGCATAAAGCCTGAGGTTGCTGAACAATATATTTAGCATACACATACGTTGCTCCAGAAGTAATGCTTTTTATCAATTTCCATGGAAATTACAACAGACACAACACAATAGCCCTATTTGCTAAAGCACATTCTCAGCTACAAAACACTATTTTTCAACGTGGTCACAACTGCTAGTCACACATTTTCACCAGCCATGAACAAGAACCTATGTCGTGCTTGTAGAAATCAGCACCAGCAGGGGTGACTGGCTGTCAGTTTGCCACTGCTGAAATGCACCAACCACTGCTTCACTCTGCTCACATCCACAGAAACATCCAGCAAGCAACAATGAATGTCAATGGATGCCATTTTTTTCTGCATGGAGGAACACAATTCCACACATTTTTTTCATACACACCTCCATGTCAGGCACCATCTTGTCAGAGTGCCCGTCTGCTGCCATCTGTGACATGGCAACGACATGTAACACAATATCAGTGGGAGGTTCAACTTCTACTGTCATATCAGCAACACTGACCTCTTACGTAGTGGGCCAACACAATAAAGCAGGAGGCATTACTTTCAGAGCATCCTTCATGTACATGGTTCCTCACTAGGTAGTTTAAAGCAAATCATAAGCAGCATTGTTTCTGCTGATAAAATCTCTAATGGTTGGCGCTGTTGCTGTACTTCGGCATTTAAAAGCATAAAGGATAATTTACTCTTAAAATTACCTGGGCACATTATATTTAACAAGTCTCAAATTCTCTTTAGGGATTATAATAAGAAAACACTTTGCTTAATCATAAATTTTATATTTATCTTGGCTAAACACTCTCCTTTGGATAGACTGCCATGTTTTGTCAAGAAAAATCAACACAGTGGAAATGAAGTACTTGTTCTGTTGTGTGGTCATTCAAAGGAGTATGTAGAAGTAATGTAAATGTGCACCAGTGCTGCTGATAATTTCACGCTCTCATACACTCATTTCAATTTGCTTTGAAAAGGACTATTCCTCCTGGCTAAATACAGTCATCACGAAAAAGCATACCTCCCCTTTGAGTTAATAATATTGCCAGCCCCAAAACACAAGAGTACAAAAAACTTCTGTATTTTAAGCAATCTGAGACACTTTTTTTCCCTCACAGTATGCTTTCTTCAAAAGTGGGAAAAATCTTTCAGTCCTCAGATTTCTGTTCAAGAATTCATTCCCGCTCCATACTCGGCAAACCCATCCTCTTTCAGCACACACATAACAAATCTCAAATCCTACTTTTTTTTTTTTTTTTGTATAATGGATTGTTGTAAAAGTAGTCTATTCCTCCACACATTAAAAAACTGTCACAAGACTATTGGGACATACAATGGCTCAGCAGTGATCTGATTACTCCAGCACCACACTTCCTGCAGGAAGTACCACCAAATCACACATCATCTTCATGCATTTGCAGCAAAGTGATTTTTCACTAAAGGTTTACAGTAGAGCTGAAAATGCACTTACAGTCACCAATGTCTTAAAGCACTTTTTTTTTTTCCCTTTGAAGATTTGCTCAATTTTCAATTAGTTTCATATTTAATTTGGACTTTCAATGTGTGGTTCCAGAACTGACCTCTTCACATAACTATTTTTGCCTATGTTAAAGGGTCACTGTTTTCTGTTTGAATTGACATCTAAATCTCTTGACGATACGATAGTTTAGACAGCAGATAAAACAACCAACAACTTGAGATACAGCTACATCCCCTCCATTGCAGTCAAATATGAACTCCAACCTATGCAAGACATAATGACAGAAAACGAATTCAATTCCTTTCTTTATTCTGCTAGTATGCTTCCTTCTCCTCAACCTCCACATATAACTTAAGTGCCTTTACTCAGCAGTGTCTGCAAAATTTTGCTCAGTGGAAGACTAAAGCAAAGTGCAGTGCCATACAGGTGGATGCTACAGCATTGACATTTTACTACTTGAGAAAGTAGTTGTGTAAGTTCTAAGCCTTACCCAGGCTGAGAAACTGCCTGCTACAAGAGGGAGGCCATTCAGCCGGTACTGAAAGCAATGTGCGTAATAACACAAGGAAGTGAATTGTACCATATAACAAATTTCTAATATTAACAATGGCAGCATTATAAATAAAGCTCACAGGAAAAAGCATGGAGAAACAAAATCATCTGCTATCCTTCACCTTTTAACATCACCACCAACAGAAAATGTCTTTGTTTGCAAGTATGAATCAGATGAACAGATATCAGATACTGCTGATTCTTCCCTTTGGGAACTTCAGAAATACATGCTAACAAAACAAAATTCAGAAAGTCCTTACTGGTAATTTTAAAATTTAGGACATGAGATTGATTTATTGACATTCAGGAATAGACACTTGGGTACAAATACCAGGCAGATGCACTCTAACAAAGTTACAGGTATAGTAAAGTACTGACCATTATATTCTGACTCATATTTCAAGGTTTTCTTGAATAGTTAAAAGTTACATGGGATACTTTGCATTATTCATGGAAAAAAAAAATTGACTTCAATGGATTATCATGTTTACAAAGTAAATAATACATAAATTTCCAGGCCAGAAGCTTCACTCCTTTGCCAGATTCCCTCCATTCCAGTCATTACAATTGACCAATTAAATTCAATTTATCTATTTGGAAAACTTCACACAAGAAGATAGCTTTGTGACTCAGTACAGTATGTTATTAAAAATCTTTCTTTATCTTTATTAGCTTTCTGATTTTTCTTTTAGCTTCTTCTAACTCTCTTAGTAAAATAACAATTTTAACTTGCTAAAACCTACAGGACAATGTTAAATCCCAAACTAGTGAATCAACTGCTATCAGTACAACACATAGCTCATTTGGCTGTTATGATCCACATTTCCTAGCTGATTTTTAGATAAAAACAATCAGATTACTAGGAAAGGTTTATCTTAAATTCCCACATGTACAGCATGCCACATTAAATATATGCAAATCAACCTTTTTCTCCTCTTTTTTTTTTTTTTTTGAGCTGACAACTCATATGACCTGAAGCCATGGTTAACGATGACAATTATTTGACTTTCATATTTATACAATCAGTCATCAGATATGCATGTTAATTGATTTCAACAGATAGTTTTGTATTCTAATGATCAACAGTAAGTGTACATTTTACCAACCTCTTGATTTATAAGAAAATAAAACTTATATCAGTTTTCACAGTTAACCCTTCATTGGATTGATTTACATCATCCACCAAAGACTTCACCGTAATACATTAACTGAAGTAGTTTCAATAATGGGAGCTTCACTGTAATAGCAAAATTTGATTTTACAACTAAAGACTCTGCTTTATTGTGTTTAAAAAAAACAACTGCTACTCTATTTAAACAATATTCTCTACTAATCAGATGTTATGAAGCATAAATAGAGTTTAAATAAACGGACTGGGCAAGGCTTCATTTATTTACTCCATATTTACATCTCACTATTTAAAAAACCTAAAATGGTGGCCAGGAGCTCATAAACGAGCATCTTGGCCATTAAGACACTGTTAAATGGACATTTCTGATTTTTAAAAGGTCTTGATTACAAACTGAAAATAATTAGATAGATTTTAAATATATGATAGGATTCCACTGCTTTCTTAATGGCTATTCTCCTTAATCTCAGGTCTGGCATTGCAGCAAATGCTGATAACGCAAATAAATTGTCTTCAGTCTCTCCCTCATTGAGAAACACTCCCTTTTTGTTCAAAAGACCTTGATCTCCACCTGAACATACAGGGAACATTTGAGGTTCTGCAGAAATCAGAAACCCATCCCAAACTAATTGCTCTCCCAGTTACAACGCCACAAATTCCAAAGCAGAAAGCATCTGATTCTTTCGTATGATACAGTACTGATCCTCCACCTTGAAGACTGATTATAGTGTTTATACTTACAGCCAAGGCAGACCTTAAAATAAACAAAAGAATGAAGTTGAAGTTCTGCGTGAAACTTCAATACAAGTGACCAGAACAAAAAAAGTAGGAAATGAAAGCTATGACAAAAACACTGACATTAAAATCTATGCCAAATGTTGTACAATCAATAGGTGTGCAAAGGTTAGGCTTAGTAAGATTATCACGATAGAAAGATAATAGAAATAAATGGAAACGCTCACCAGTGTCTGTCATAGACTCACAATAAAGTCCACAAAGAGCAATCTCCAGAAAGAGATCCCTCCTCAGTGGCAGGCAGCCCTTAAATGGGGTCTAGAAGAGGTGCAGCCAGGCTCCACCCCTTCTAGTAGTACAGGTGAATCGCCTTCACCTGTGTTCCCA